TTTGGAAAAAGGGAAGCCGTAGCTGTGAAGTGTTGGCTCTATTAGAAGGCCTTTGCAAACACTAAAAGTGAAGCCAGTGTCATCTGCTTCCAATAGCAAATCAATTTATTCTATAGGTTTCATAATTTCACATACTTCATGTAACCAAATGTTATTATAAATGCTACTAAAATTAATCTAAAAACTCAACATTAAAGAAACTATAAATTGTAATGGAGTCATGGTCGAGATAATGTTATTTTATTATATTATAAACTCAGTAGAGCATAAAATGTATTTTGAGTTATTGATAAAGCCTTATTATTTTATAACTGTGTATAATAAAACATAACTAATCAAATTAGGTGGTATAATTTTCCAAATTTACACGTTTTTATTATAAACAAAGTTTTTTTAAAAAAAATATTAAATTCATTGAGTAACATTGGTTAATAAAGTTATATAGGTTTCAAGTGTATAATGCTATGACACATCATCTGTAATTTGCATGTGTGCCCACTACCCAATGTCAGATCTTCCCTCACCATATATTTGACCCCCTTCACTCTTTATTGACTTCCACCCTTCTTCCCTCTGGTAACCATCATACTGTTATTTGTGTCTCTCAGTTTTTGTTTGTCTTGCTTGTTAGTTTGCTGCTTTCAGTTTTATATCCCACATAATTGAGATCATATTGTTCTTGACTCTTTCTGTCTGACTTATTTCTTAACATAATATTTTCAAGACCCATCCATGTTGTTACCAATTGCAATATTTCCTCATTACTGATGGCTGAATAGTGTTCCATTGTATATATATATGGGCCACTCCTTTTTATCTAATCATCTACTGAGGGACACTTTGATTGTTTCCCTGTTTTGAGAACCATGAATTGTGCTACAATGAATGCAAATGAAAAACATTTGCGAATGTTTGCAAATTTGGGAGGTAGATACCCAGAAGAGGGATTGCTGGGACATATGGTAAATCACAAATAAAGTATTGTAACTAGAAATACTCTATGACAAATTAGATATAGAATTTTAAAATATATTTTAATAGATCAGTATTTACTTTGTCTCTTTGCTACCGGCCATCAAGATATCACAAATATTTGAGTTTTTACAAGATATTTTTAAATAAATGTAAGTCTCCAGGGCACTGGATATTTTCATAAAATTTCTAAATTTGGTTACATATTGGTAACAGCATGTGAAAATTTTGAAACAAATCATCCTCTTATGGAGCCTAAAAAACTTCATTTTTTGTAGATTCTAGTGAAATGCCATAATTGGAAACAAAGTTTGCAAATGGGAAGACCTTGAAATTTATCTATAAAAAACACAGTGAAATAAATAAGGTTTAATTTGAGTCTCTAAAAGGTCAAGGATGCTGCTGAACATTCTAGAAATGTAATTACTGGTCCCCACAAATAAAGAATTATCTGTCCTTAAATATAAGCTGTACTAAGGTTGATAAACCTTGTTTTTATTGGATAAATGTATAATGCCAGAATTGTGTGAAGTTAAGGTCTAAGATTTTGAACCTTCTGGTCAACATCTAATTATACCAAAAGACAACATTTTTCAACAAATTTTACCCTATAAAAATACTAATCAAAAACAAATTTTCCATATTAAGGGGTAAAAATAATAGCTCTGAAAATACACTGAAATATTTGCACATGGATACATAAAAATTAGAATTGATCATTATTTCCAATTGTGCAGTATTTTTTTGGAGCTTCAACGTGTCTAATTATTACATTAGGGAAATTACCTAGACTTAGAATCACAGAATCATAGAGAATGGACATGTGTAGTGTTCAGTTTCACCACATATACAGGTTTCCCTTGAGGGAAGAACCACCCCAAAGCTGATATGTTTTCCCAAGAAAGTTAGAGTTCTGTTAAACATAATTTTCTCCATTTTATGATACTCCTGATTGTGTCTGTTTTAATTTTCCAGCTTTACATTTCTGAAAGGCTAAGGTAAAAGACAGGATTTATAAATCATAGTTTTATCAAAATTTACTGACTCAGCATTTCTGCCTCTGCTGCTGAGGAAGTGAATTTGAATAAGTGTAGCTGATTCCATTTCATTACTGGACATCTCACTTCTATTGAAAAGTTATACACAAACTGTGAAGTCCTACAAAGTAGAGCTAAATGCCTCCATCATGTTTATATTCCTCATACCTAGCAAAGTAAACATTTAATTCATATGGTGAGTGAATTATATAGAAAGTAATGTAAAATAAAAAAGGTATAAAATATATTGATACTATAATGAAACACAAGTTTATTTCAATGAGTTTATGGAAACATGGAATACTAGAAATGAGATGTTAGAATGTATATATTTTTAAGTAGTTTTCATATAAAATAATAAAAATGGTTAAACAAGGAATGTAACATGCACAGAACAAAAAGAAAATCAATATAGTATATACTTTAAGGTACTTGGGATAAAAAACAATTAAGCCATATTCAAAACAAAAATACTGAAAACTTTAATGATTAATTAAAAGTTATTCATTGTCTTCCAAATAGCCTACCATATTTACGTTTTATAATATAAAGATGGGTAGTTTTCTTGTTTTATTATTACCTAATTGATAATACGAATCTTCTATATTCCAAAGTATGGCCTCAATGAGAGTCCCTTCAGTTTCTTAGCTAGTGGGGTATCTCAGAAGTTGGATCCTCTCACTTGAAGCTGACTTCAAATCAAGAAACAGAGAAGGCAATGACTCCCCATTGTCTTTCCCCCCAACTTCCTAGGCTTAGCTCCGGCTTTTCATTTGTGGGAATGGATCCCAGGTGCCTCAAGGTAAGTACTATCTGTGGGCAGCACAATAAATTAACCATATTGGATAAAGTCAGCATGCCATTAGTTTGCTTATTCTCTACAGAAATTTTGAGTTTTATTGAAAGGGAGATTTGCATTTTGAGTTGGAATCTCTTGGTCCCAAAGCACACATAGTTCCTGTCAAGAGCCTAGCTCTGCAAAGAAAAATAACTAAAAGCTGAATATCATAAAAGACAAGAATGTGTAAAAATTGTGATTCTACACAATTGAAGGAGATTTGATAGAACCAACAGTTCATAAATGGGGCCTTGTATTTTGTATCTGTGTAGAGAGGTTTGAGAAAGGAGAACCAAATACAATTTCAGGTTGTATTATGTGCTGGGTACTATCTCACACATGATCTAAGTTCATATTTAGAACAATCCTATAATAAATATATGGTTACCTATATTGTATGGATGATAGTGCTGGGTGACCTTCACTCCTTGATTATCCTTCTATCTAATTTTAAACTCACCCTCCCTTACCCATCCCCATTTCTTTCAATAGTAGTTTTATCTTCTGGATGAGGTGCACATTGTTTTCAAAACTGAAGAAATGCATTCAACAGCATAAAACCTTTTTTCCTACAGCCTTTTGTTTTCTTTATTCCATTTTTCAGCCACAGCAAATTGAACTGGCTTCTAGGGGACTTTCTCAGGGGATGCTTAGTTGACCCCTACAATTCTGCTGAATGACTTTTCCACTGAGGAGTTGCATAGAATGCTCTCACACCCCTAAACTCCTTGTAATATGTTTGTGCTTCATTCATGGGATTTATCCAGCACAGATATGCCTACCTGAGCTGCTTCTATTATTTATTGATTTTAACCAAGACCAACTTTAAATGATTCTATCTCAGTAGTTTTGTTTTGTTTTCAGCAATGTATTATGCTGGAAGCCGGTCCATCCTTGCTGCTTGACACAGTTGCTGCAGGGAAGAAACATCTGCACAGCATATGTCTCAAGGGACCTGGCATATATGGCATACTGTTCTTAATATGTTTGCTCCCCTTAGCGCTATGTGTTTTAACCAAGGTCACCTCTCCGAGAAAGGTTGTTTCCCCAGGTAGGGATTTTTCCCTGATTTTGGGGGGGGGGAATAAAATCCCTTAACTAAGTGCCAGGCAGGTAGTTAATCACTTTAACTACGAACAATCACGCTTAAGCTGTTGGGGTCCAGCACCAGCAGGTCCAGGGGTTCCCAAAGGTGGGGACGGAGTCGGCGAAGACTATCCACCCTCTTTCTACGGTGGAGTCCTATCCGTCCCGAGAGTGGGGCTTACCTAGGGGAATGGGGGGCTTACCTAAGGGTCCCTGTTCGGGC